TAGGTGGCATCTCACTCCCTGGCCCCAAAATATATTACAAAGCTTCGATCATCCAAACAGCATGGTATTGGCACAAAAACAGACATGTGGACCAATGGAACAGAGTAGAAACTCCAGAAATAAACTAAAAAACATACAGCCAACTCATCTTTGATGAAAAGTACCAGTCAATCCAGTGGGAAAAGGGAAACCTCTTTAGCAAATGATGTTGGAAAAACTGGGTCTCCACCTGCAGAAAGATGAATCTGAACCTCTATCTGTTACCACTAACAAGAATCAACTCAAAGTGGATCAAAGATCTAAACTTAAGACTGAAAACTATAAAACTACTGGTGGAAAACACTGGGGAAACTCAGGGAGACATTGGTATAGGCAAAGACTTCTTAAGCAAGATCCCCAAAACACAGACAATAATCTTCAAAATAGACAGGTGGGATTACATCAGATTAAGGAGTTTCTGCACAGCAAAGGACACCATAATTAGTGTGAATCGACAACCCTCAGAATGGGAGAGATTTTTTGTGAACTGTGCCTCATATAAGGGACTGATAAACAGAATACACAGGGAACACAAGCAGCTTATCCATATGAAAATGATTAACTCAATTAAATGATGGAAAATGAGCTGAATAAACAACTCTCTAAGGAAGATATACGAACAGCCAGAAACCATATGAAAAAATGCTCAAAACCCCTCATTATAAGATAGATGCAGATCAAAACCACAATGAGATACTATATAACCCCAGTCAGAATGGCCAAGATTAAGAAAACAAATAATGATAAGTCCTGGAGGGAATGTGGTAAAAGGGGAACACTCCTACATTGTTGGTGGGAATGTAAATTGTTCTAGCCACTGTGGAGAAAGATATAGAGGTTCCTCAAAGACCTTCAAATAGAACTACCATATGATCTAGCAATTCAACTCCTTGATATCTACCCAAAGGACAGGAGAGCACTCAGTCAGAAAAGCTCTTGCACATCTATATTCATTGCAGCATTATTCATGATTGCTAAGACATGGAACCAACCTAAATGTCCACAAACAGGTGAATGGATTTAAAAAATGTGGCACATATACTCCATGGAATACTATTCAACCATAAAAAAACAACAAAGCCCTGGAATTTGATAGAAAGTGGATGAATATGGAATATTTGTTGCTAAGTGAAGCAAGTCAGGCTATGAAAGAGAGACATCATATGTCTCCACTTAATATATACCAGCTGTCTGCACTCTATGGTAGAGACTGAAAGACTGGAGAACATAAAAGTATTAAAAATTGTAATGAAGTGGAAAGAGATGTGAGAGGGGGAAAAGCATAGGAATTTGGTGGAAAAATGGAGAGGTAAGACACTTGTGGGACACAGATAAGGTTTATTATCTACTGATGAAGATGTGTATGGTGATCTCAACTGGGCTGGACTGAGGTGTATATCATGCTGGGTAAAGTCTCTTCACAATTTAAATGATGTATAGAGATTTAATGTATGAATAATAAAAATGTATAAATTAAAAAAAATAGTATTTTAGGGCCAATAGTTTATGTGGTGGCTAAGGTGCTGGATCTTACATGGTCGACTCTGCAGTTTGAGTTCTAGACCTAGTAGCTTGAAAAACATACTGACACATGTGCATATAAACCGAAAATCCTAAGTGGAGAATGGAAGAGAAGGATTGCAGCATGGTCATTCCCTTTGAGGGTGTATAAATTAAAAAAAATAGTATTTTAGGGCCAATAGTTTATGTGGTGGCTAAGGTGCTGGATCTTACATGGTCGACTCTGCAGTTTGAGTTCTAGACCTAGTAGCTTGAAAAACATACTGACACATGTGCATATAAACCGAAAATCCTAAGTGGAGAATGGAAGAGAAGGATTGCAGCATGGTCATTCCCTTTGAGGGGTTGATTTCTCACCCTCCCTCCCTACCCACATCTCTCTCCATGAGTGCGCATGCCTTATGGCAAAAATTTTTTAAAGGAATCTTATTTTAGACCTTTAATTGACAGTATTGTTTGGAGGGGAATGAGACAGGAAGCTACAGGCACCTCAGACCTGATTCAGCTCCTAATTTCCATTAACACTATTATCAACTTTTTCTTAACTCAAGCTAGAAATGTTAGGTTCTTCCATTCCCCTCATTTCTGAAATCTGTTCTGTCAACTATGCCATAACAGTGGGTCATGGAGCCATCCCTTTGTCTCAATCCCCACAGTCAGTGCTCTATTTTAGATCATCAACTTTATTTTTACTTGTCTCACTGCCTTGGTCCATTATCTTTCCAAGCCCTCCTCTACACTGTCACCATAGTCTTCTTTCTAAAATGCAACTCTCATGTTATTTTCCTACCCAAAAATCTTCTCTGGTTATCTTGACTATTTAAAATAAGACCTATACCTCTCAGTGTGGTATTTAATAACTCTGTGAAGTTGGTATTAACCCTATTTTGCAGATAAAGAAACCAAGGCTCATAAAGGGAAAACAAATTGCCTAGGAATCACATAAGCATGCAATGGTAGACTCAAGACCAGAACTCAGGTTTCCTGATGCCAGTGTTCTAATGATTAAAAAATATTTTGGGGGAAGTAGAAGTTGGTGTAATGGCTATGTCACTGGACTCTCATGTAGTCGACCGCAGTTCGAGTCCTGGACCCAGTGGATTAAACTCACGCTAGGCGTGTGTGCGTGTGTGCCCAAAATCCCAAGAGGAGAATGGAGGAGAAGGGATTATGGTGTGGCCATCCCCCCTGGGGAGTGATTTCTTGCTTTCTGTCTCTGTCTCTCTCTGTCTTTCTAGCGAGTGCACACGCCCTATAGTAAAAACCTCTCAAAAAAAAAGTACCTTTTAAAGAGAGGAGAAATGATAGGCACTGCATGTGTTGTTATAATAGTAGGATGGTCATTATATACTCCTGTCTCCTGGGTGGGGCACATATTTTGAAACTCACACAAGTGAGAAAAGATCTTTATTCTTTTACTGACTTTGTAGACTTAAACAACTGATTTAACCTCTTGGAGCCTGCTTCCTAACTTATAAAATGGGGACAAAATATTCCAACCTTATAGTGTTGTTGTTATGAGGATGTTCTGAGATCACATATGTAATGGGCCTAGGGTCACAGGAGATTCTCATGAGCATCATCACCTACTTGTACTGCCCATTCCAGTAGTTTAAAAACCCATTTAAAAAATGAGGGAGGGGACCAGCAGATGGCGTAGCAGTTACACCACTGGACTCCCACATGGCTGACTGCAGTTCAAGTCCCAGACACCAGGTGCATGTGCTTGCATGCCCAGATCCAGGAGTAGAATAGAGAAGAAGGGATTGCAACATGGCCACCCGGGGGGGAAGGTTGATTTCTCACTTACCTTCTCACTGTGTCTGTCTCTGTCTGTCTCTCTCTGGTGAGCACATGAGCCCTCAGGTAAACATCTTTTTAAAAATGAGGGAGTTATGGGACCAGCAGTTGGTGTAATGGCTATGTCACTGGACTCTCATGTAGCTGACCACAGTTCGAGTCTCAGACCTGGTGGCTTAAACTCACGCTGGGCACGTGTGCGTGCATGCCCAGGATTCCAAGAGGAGAATGGAGGAGAAGGTATTGTGGTGTGGCCATCCCTCTAGGGAGTGATTTATCACTTTCTGATTCTCTGTCTATCTCTGTCTTTCTGGCGAGCGCATGCGCCCCATAGCAAAAACCTCTCCCCCCCCCAAAAAAAAAAGAAAAGAAAAAGAAAAGAAAAAAAGAGGGAATTAAATTTTATTTATTTATTCATTTTTTTTTTGGAGAGATTTTCACTATAGGGCAAGTGCGCTCGCCAGACAGACAGAGACATAGAGACAGAAAGCTAGAAATCACCCCCCAGGGGGGATGGTCACACCGCAATCCCTTCTCCTCCATTCTCCTCTCGGGATCTTGGGCACACACGCACATGCGCCTGGCATGAATTCTAAGCCACCGGGTCCAGGATGCTAACTGCAGTCGACTACTTGGGAGTCCAGTGACATAGCCATTACGCTAACTGCTGGTTCCCAGGGAATTAAATTTTAGACAGTAGGGATCTATATAGATGGGGGACAAGACTCCAGAGCCTATCCCTAGTTCTGGGGTTGGAAATAACCATTTTCAGAGTCTCAGTCAGGTTTCTTCCAAGTGAATACCAAAGTTAATACTCCCCATAACAATAGTTGATCATTTGTATATTGAGACTTCTGACTAAAAAAGCAAATCTTAAATCCCACTGCCCAAATAGCCATGATTCAATTTGCTACTCCTCATTGTATTCTTTCTTTCTTTTTCCTTTTTTTTTTCTTTTTAGTTTTTACCGTAGGGTGCATGAACTTACCAGAAACAGAGAGAGAGAAAGGGAGAGAGAGGGAAAGTAAGAAATCACCCCTCTCTCCTACACTTCAAGCCACTCTCCTCTCAGAATTTTCAGCATGCAGGAACACATGCCTGGTGTGATTCTCAAGCTGACAGTTCCAGGACTAGAACTGTGAAGCTGGCCATATGGGATCCATTGCCTTAACCTCCATGCCACATGCTGGCTTACTCACTAAATTTTTATTAAAGTGCACTGTTTCCTGAGAGAGGCAGCATACATACTAACTTTTTGGCCCAGATTATCTTTCACTTCCTTCTTTCCTGGGTAGAGTCCTTTTCCTCTGTTCTCTGACCTCAAAGCATGCTCTAAGGCCGACCACTGCAACTCACCCGCCTGTTGAAATCCTGCTCAACAGTGAAGCAGGATTCACCTCCTCCAGAAGCCTTCTTTAATAACTCGGCCAGGTCCGTTTACCCTCCTCGCTCCTCTCCCCAGGAGCACCAAATCCTAGACTTCAGTGATAAAACACATGGAGCACGAGGATTTGCTAAATTGAGACCTGCTTTTAATTCTACAATAGCTTATCTTTGACTAGCTCCACGTCCTAAGGCTAATAAATGCCTTGATCTATTCGACTCAGTTTTCTCACCTGAAGCAGGCTGAGAATACCTACCTCCAGGGCAATAAGGGACATTGCTCTACTAGCTTGCTCAATGCCTATTTGTGCTGAGTGGTATGGCCCCATGATTTGTGAATTTGGATGATTCCTCTCATGGCAATGCAAGCCCCTCAGGACGTCTCTATCCTTCCACCTAGCTCAACCCGCCTTCAGATGCTTAATGTCATTAGGTATCTGGCACGGCCAGGCAGCCCTAGGCTGCATTTCTACCAGCCATGCAGTCTTTCACCTAGCAGGAGGGTTAATGAGATGCTAGGTAGAAAGGGCTTGGCGCTCGCCTTCCCGCTCAGCGGGGAGTGGAGTAGCTTGGTAACTGCACCGCGGCCTCATGATTAGTGCATTAGACGCACTGACTCTGAGGAGGCAGAGCTTCCCGGAATGGCCACGCCAGACCCAAGGGCTGAGTGTGGGCACCGCTGAGCACCCAGGTTGGGAGCCAGGTCTTCCGCAGTACAGATCCCTCCTTTTCCCCTCCCAGACCTGTGCGCTTCTCAGGGAGTATATTCTCCCTTACCCTTGGACCTGAGTCTGGGTCACTCAGTGGGACTCCCTTGCCTGTAGGCTCGAGGTGGGCGGAAGGGTGCAGTGGGTTCTGGGAAGACATCCCTCCGCTTGTGGCTCTGCTGAGTCCTGAGCACCTTCAAAACGGCAGCGGAGGCCTAAGGGACCATCCTAGCCAGGATGTCGGGGGCGGGGCAGCCCCTGCCCCAACCGGGGGGCCGCGCCT